ATGCGTCAACAGGATGACTTCCACACTCTTATCCTACGGTAATGACACGTGCACCTTGGAGAGATATGGGTGCAAGCGGGAGCTTGCACAAGATTGGAACCCCCTGGGCGTCACATATGTGATGAACCACTTTCAAAAACCGCGCGATTTTCGACGTGAAGTTGTTTGGGGAAATACGACGGGTCGAAGGGGTGAGCTGGGCAGACGGGTCGAGCGAACAAATTGCATGGATGTCCTCATTTCTTTTTCGTTTTCTGCTGAGACTGTCGGATCGGTGTCGGGAAGATCCCGTGCCAATGGTTGGAGAACCGCGCCTTAGTGAGCGCGAAGAATATTTGTACCATAACTTTTTTTTTCTTGTTCGGCTGTGAGCACTGGGAATTTTTTTGGGCGCGATCATCTTGCCGGAATGTCGTTTTGAATTTTCAACCCGTGTCGAGCCCCCTCGGGATTTCAAAATTGTTTTCTCGGAATTTTTCGCTTGCAATTGGGAGTTAAGCTAGGAATTTAGGTGCCTTCTGGATTTTGTTGCGTAACGCTCCCTGCTTACGCACGCCTTGCCGCAACAAGATCTGGGTTCTGACATCTTTTTGCGCCTTAATATTGCACGTAACTGTAAAAGTTTTGGCGGGTGTGATTGCAACTATAATTTTCTCGTTCTTGATGTCCTTCGTGTTCTTCCCTCTTCCTGCCTTGACCTGATTGGTTCCTATGCCTGCATGACCAGATCGATGCGCGGACAGTGGCTCAGTCCCCCACGCCGCGGCCCAGACATGCAGACGTAGGCACTTCCTCTCTTCCCCTTCTCATCACTTGGGACTAATCCCGTATCCCTTGTGCAAGCGTGCACACTATAAAATTCGCAAGCGCGATTAGTTGTCTCTCTAAGAATTTCGAGGTTAGCGCGATCAGTGAGGGTCAGCTAACGAGCAAGATTGGAAGGTAAGTGAGTGCGGGAGTTGGGCGATCCAACGAGCTGGTGTCGGGTATGCGGGGTTGACGTGCGGGGCCGCGACTGACTGTGGCGCACGGGCGAACCTGGATTGCATACTTGAACCAAGCGGGATGACAACTCTGCGTTGATACGCGGCGACGGACTGTCGGTATCAGGAACAGAGAGAGAGACAGAGAGACATAGAGAGAGCAATTGTGTGGGTGCGGGATAAGGTTCTTTCTTTGTTATCTCCTTCGATTTTGTATTACGACCCTCCTCTTTTGAACTTCGTTTGTACATCATCTCGGATTTCCCTTGTGATTTTATTCGGTATGGATGCATGGAATGAATGTATAATCCTTTTTTTTTTTAGCGATCTTTTCAGATTTCTAGTTCTGTTTTGCGATGCCTGTTTCGTCTCAACCAATGTGCACTTGCGGGAGCTATACGCTCAGAACTGATTGATGTCTGGGGTCTCGTCGTTCACACTCGGGAGTGCTCGGATTAGTTGATCGTCCTTCTGCGTCACATGTAGGGCATGTAGTGATTGGTAGGAAATTTGCACTTATGCTGAACGTAACCGGAACCAATCGGTTGTTCCTCACAAGCATGAGCGCGCACGATCATGATCTCGATAAAGCGGAGTCGCCACGTACGCGCTCGTCCGTGTGAGTCAGCCTTAACCCCGTGTAAGGATGCGGGGGATTCGGCTTACTAGACGAACATGGCTGTGAGATCTCCCTCCCGGGCGTCCGACTATGAAAACCTGAGGGACTCGGAATATCGCGAGTATTGAGAAGGCGAACAACTTAGACTACGGGGAAACTTGAGAAACCCAGAATTCCCCTTTCTAACGGAGCATGACCAAGTATGCGCGGGGGATTTCCACTGGGCGATAACCAGCGATCCTAGAGGCCCAGACTACCCAGATACAAACAATACTCAATACTACATATTCCCGGGTTTCGTCGTTATCACCACCAACTTCCCTCCCTTCCATCTCCTCCTCCCCTATCACCAACTCACAGTGGTTTCGTGGAATTCTATAGCTCGCTATTGGCCCAGCCCGCCGTGCGAGGATTGTCAGCATTACCGGGTGCGCCGAGCTTCGGTAACTACCCAACAAACTTGAACCGAAGATGTGCAGCGATTGCACAACCTTCGTTTACGGCCCGCCTCGGCAGAATCTGAAGCCTGTTACGAGCGGCGCCGACAACTGGCTGAACGGTGCGACCAACTCCGAAGGCGAAACCAAAGGCGATGGTGACTTCCAATTTTTTTTTCTGGGTTTTAAGCTAACGAAATTGGGGTTCGTTGGAAGGGGCAATTTTGTTGAGATTTTGTTCGAGACTGCAAGAGTGTTTAGATCTATCGACGTTGGGGTTGTAGAAGAGAACCCCGGGAACGTTGGTTTGGGATGCACTGCACATGCCCTTCGCCCTATGCTGCATGACATCTGCAGTTTTCCCCCTGTGCATAAACCACGAGAGGTGGTCTTCCTTCCTTCCCATAAGGATTAAAGCGCCAAGGCAAGACCTACATATCCCCTGTTGTACTTTTACCCCCGAAACTTGCCATACGAGATCTCAGTTCCGACTTGGGATTCCACCCTCACTTTCCTAAAATCCTTGGCACACCCCGAACACTGAATTCGTGAAAACCTAACAAAATCACAAAACCTAACATTTTTTATAGAATGAAAAAGTTAAAGTCAAACTTTTTTTTTTTTTGACACATAAAACAGAGCATTTTAACTGTTTCCCTAGAAAGGAGGCAAAAAAATTGGCAAAAAGTCTTAGTGATTCTCAAAATGTGCAAGAAAATATTTTCCAATAAAAAAACATGTTATAAGACTATAAGTCGTTTTTAGTAGACTGAAAAAAAACATAGCTTAAACAAAACAATCTCTAAGGATTGCAAGGCGAACTCGAAGGATGTTAAGAAAAAAACAATTTCAGTGAATATTCATTTCTAGAGTTATAAGTCGTTTTCAACAGTTTGGTAAAAACCAAGTTCTGCGAGAACTTGTTTATAGAACTATGAATTAATATAATTCATTTTTAAGTTTACGGTAAAATCATTGTCAAAATCTATATGTTATGTAAAAGAAGAATTCAAACAACTTTTGTCGAGGGACATCTTCAAATTCTTAGCCAACCACGATTTAAAATAAAAAAATAAAAAAATATTTTAATAAAAAATACTAAAAAATAATATATTCGTCCACGTATGAGGGAACATATCTAAGAGCATGTATTCGTAAATAGGAGAATATATGTGAGTGTTTGGAAAACCCAGGCGTAGGTTCATCGTGCTTCATACCTTATAGAACTATAAATTTGATTTTTTTAAATAAACAAAAAATTAGGATATTTCGATTCTTGAACAAATGGTGTTTTGCAAGGTAGTGATTTTTTTGTAAAAAAACTTGCTTCTCTCCTCACCACTTCTAGTGGTTTTGAAAAAGTACTTTTCTATTCATTTTTTGTAGTTAATTTACTTCAATGTTGTTTATGAAGGAGGCCTGAAAAATATACTATCAGAATCTTAAAAAAATTTAATGCAAACCTAACAATTTTTTTTATTAGGTTTTCACAAATTTTATGTTCCCCTTTCTTCGCACTTCGGGACCCCCGTCCCACTCCGATCAGGAAGTCGCGCTGGGCGTGAGGTTGGGCGTCACATCACACTACCTCAAGTCGTTCCGTTGCCTGCTACGGACAAGCCCAATATAGATACCAAAGGAGAAGAACTTAGCAAGGAACTATGAGGTGTGTTGCAAACTAGAGGCAACCAAGCAAAAGAAAGAACACAACAATCTAAGTTCACACGGGAATGAAGCCAAGCAACAAAAAGAACACCAACAATCTAAGTTTACATCGTAGTGAAGCCAAGCAACAGAAAAAACACCAACAATCTAAGTTCACTCCGTAGTGACGCTAACCTCCGACAAACATTTCATTCTTTCAACGGAGAGGAGTGTGCTAGCGGGCGTGGTACAACTAGAGCCTAGAGATTGAGGGGAGCAGGGATCTGGTCTGTAAATCCGGTCAGATGCAAAACGCGAAGAAATCTACACTACAGCCCAAACTAGAGGAGAAATAGAAAATAGGCCTATGAATTCGATTAGATGCCAATTGCCAAGAGCTCAGCCTGTGGACCGTAGAAACGAAGATGCTAAATCCTTTGTTTATTCGTGCTAAATGCTGCGTGCAAACAAACCAGCGTATTGATGTCAACAGGTAAGGACGAGAGATGAGCAACAGAGCGTGCAATCAGTGAGGGGCCCAGACGAAGTTATCCAGGATTAAGAATTCTGAGGAGCCGATGCAATACTAATAGCCTAGTAATAGGCAAGTTTTGGGCCTACCATGTTTGTGATAGGAAAAAGGGGTGAATCAAGTCATAGAAAGGGACTGAATACAGGTCGTTGAAAACGAGAAGAGCAGCCAAGGTTAGGTTCGAAATCAGAGAGTGACACAGATGGCTTAAAGAAGGGAAGATAATTCCACGTTCAAAGGATCAATGAAACGGCTCAGATAAGAAGAAGCCGGTATACCTAAAGCAAGGAAGGGTAGATAAAGTGAACGTCTCTAGGTGTCATCGTTTCCTCCTGTCAACACTAATGCTCTGCTCCATTTGCACTACTGGAAATGCTCCCACGGCCACCAGTGAAACTCCCACTTCCCAAAGGTGACGTCGTCCTGTAGAGCTTCGGGTCTTCTCACACTTCGAGTCTTCACGTTCGTCGTTAGTAATTGGCTTGTGCTCCTCACAACAACAGTCCCACCACTGCCAGCTGCCCCCCCACTGCTCCCCGAAGTGCCGCTGTCTGACTCGCCATTCGCCGTGCACTGGACTCACTCTCCCTTCTTCGTGCCGTTGGTCATGTATGTTTCCCAAAAACGGGGTTCATACAGAGGTTGCAAAACCTTGAAAATTTGAGCGTTGAAGGTTGTAGAGAGATCCGGAACCACCCTGCTCCCTGGTATTCCACAGGGAGACACAGCCCCTTGTCGAGGCTGAGGGAGATGGCCGGACCTTGGGAGTATCGAGTACTCCATAGCTCCGTCCCCATGCCCCGTAATTCGCGCCTTGCTGCTGACACAGAGCGCCACCGTTTCCGGATGGCGATATCATCTGTAACGCAGCGCTTCCACGAAGCGCTCGAAGCGTTCCCGTCCCCCCTTCCTCGGAGCAACCATTCTGGCTTTACTCACTCAAAGCCGGGAAACGGTCCCGGCGTCCCTTATGAAGTGACCGAGGTCCAGGCAACTCCTGGCAGGCTCAGCGCTCCGGGCGGGCTCAGGCCCAGACCGCGAAGACAGAACAAACAGGAATTCCAACCAAAGACTGTACAGTGGCTGCTTGAAAACGAACCCTAAATCCAGCGGCCTAACTCAGTTGGTAAGGCACGCAAGTGGCATTCAGGAGGTCGTGGGTTAAATCCCCATTGGCCTCATGTACCTTCCTGGGCATGCTTGGCGCCCGCCACCTAGAGATAGACCACTGGATCCCCCGATAGGCATTGAGCAGAGGCTGCTGATGATTCGTAGGGGAGGGGACCTGAGGGGAGGCACAGGGATTGGTCCTGTTGGCATGGTCCCTGATGCTACTGGCTGTTCCCTAGCCGGTATCGCCCACTTGCAGGTCGGGAGCACTCATTTACGCGAGGCGTAAGAGAGGGCTGCCAGTCGACATCCACAAGGTCACAGAGTTGGAGTACGAGTGCTTAAAGGCAGCGACGAGGAGATTCCACCCATCTCGACAGCTTGGGAAGAAGGGCGGCTTCGGCGCCGTCTACCAGGGCACACTAAGGGGCGAGGACGGAACACTAACGCAGATCGCTGTAAAGGTAGCCGTGAACGTCGACAGGAATTGCAAAGTGATCTGGAAGAAAGAAAAGCAATTCCTCGCAGAGGTGAGTACACTCAGTCGGTTACATCACGCTCATGTTTGTGGCTTGATTGGATACTGCCGCCAAAATACAAAGTACATGTTGGTTTACCCGTACATGGCTGGCGGGAGCTTGTACGATCGACTGCATTCCCCGCTAGAAGGAGCAAGAGGAGTAATCGGAGGAGGTTCAACAACTGAAGTAACGGGAGATGCATCCGGAGAAGGGGCAGAGTACGAGTCGGTAGTGTCAGCAAGTGCCATCTTAGCAGTTGAAGAAGGAAGAAGCGGAGATGGAGGAGCAGGAGGGTCACGACCAGAGATAGAGCAGCTGAGTGGAACCCAAGAACCCGATGCGAACGGGGGGCAAAGAGGAACGGAAGGAGGAGGAGGCGGAGGAGGCGGAGGAGGAGGAGGAGGAAGGGGAGGAGGAGAAGAAAGAAGCGGTCGATACCCAGGAGGAGAAGTCGATCATAAGCCCAACCGTCTCTCCCTGGTAGAGCGTTTTGTTGTTGCCCAACAGATCGTCAAAGCTCTTCGTTACATTCATTACGAGGTTGAGCCACCAATTATTCATCGTGATGTCAAAACTTTAAATGTGTTGTTGGGAACAGGACAGGGTACGCAGTTGAAGGCGTACCTCGCGGATTTCGGTTTGGCCAAATCTATGGTGGAGGAGATGCCTAGAACCGATAGCATGACAGTCGCTCGTTATAGGTGTTGGGGAACCCCTGGTGACGCTGCTCCGGAATACTCGGAACATGGAAAGTTGGTAAGGAGAAGTGACATGTACTCTTTTGGAGTTGTCCTATTGGAATTACTTACTGGCAAAAAGGCGGTCCTTCCAGGCACGCTAACGCGCGAAACCGTAACCCTGGTCGAGCAGCAGAGAGASCACTTGGCAAAGACTGGTACCGTCAATCTGGAGGAGGTCGTCGATCCTACGGTTTTGGACGAAATCGAGTCTGATCCGATGAGGATGATGGCCAGAGAGATGCTAGATGTGGCTGCTCGGTGTCTCATTCGGAATGAGAAGCTGAGGCCGAACAGCAAGGAGGTAGCTTTAAGGATGGAGGAGATAATGAAGATGGGTGGAATAACTGTTGAAGGAGTCACGGACTGCAGACCGGCAGAAGCTGACAAATCAGTTGAAAGAGGCTGATTTTAGTCTCATGTCTCATGGAGTGGATCAGACACTCACTGTGTTAACGTAACGGCGAGGGATGGATATCCCCCGGTTGGCCGTTAGGTCATCCGTTCACGGTGTTTGGCTTCAGTGCCGCGGATCAAAC